AACCTTTAAAAAGGAAAAAATTGCTGGTGGTAATGATACTGTTTTCATAGAATTGTGGAATGATAGGGGATTGGAAGTGAAYGGACCTTAAAGATCATCCAGTCCCAACTCCTGCYRTGGGCARGGACACATTTCACTGGACCAGGTTCCTCCAAGCCCCATCCRACCTGGCCTTGGRYATTTGTAGGGRTGGGGCAGCCACAGTCCCTTTGCAACTCCCCACCTTCACAGTAAAAAATTTGTTTRTATCTAACCTAAATTCCCCCTCTTTCTACTTGTACCCATTACTCATTGTCCTGTCACTGCAGCTCCTGACAGAGTCATTCTCCAACTTCCTTATAGGCYCCTTCAGATACTGGAAGGCATTCAAAATACACTGGAAAGTAGTATCGATCATTTACTTACTGAAACTATGGTTGTGCAATCACTTACTCCCTTGAAAGTATTSCCAGCTCAAAGGGATTGCAGGACCAGGCCCTGTACAACAACCTATTCACAGTTTTTAAAATTTGCACAAAGCAATCTTTGTTGAGCAAAATCCTGAGATTATCCCTTGTTTATTTGAAGACCCTGTTAAACAGCCAGACAATTCAAGGAGCAAACAGAGCAGAGTTATCTTAAAATGTTGGTTGGCACACAAATCTGAGAACTGAGGAGGTGAGGAGAACAGCCAAACAGTAATTCACCCTCAGAATCTATTTCAAATTATCTGCATAGCTTCTCACCATCCAGCCTGAGTTTAATCTCTCCATGAGCAGCACTGTTAAATATGATCATTGCTGTTTCTGGCGACAAAGGCTGCTGGCACTTTTATGTTGCCTGCATGCCTTGCTTTATCTGAGAAAGTGTAGCAGAGTATTGCTTTACTCACCCTAAACCAAACAAAAGTCCTAGTCAAGGACAGTGCCTCATTATGCAAAGCAAAATGCAGAGCAAAGCGCTTGCTCCCTTCCCTGAACAAAATGCAGAACCAATCAAACTCACCGGAAATGTTTTCTAAGTTATATTATGTACCGAACCACAGAGGGTAATTAAATATAAACTTACACTTAAATGTGATTTTTGTATGGGGTCGGTTTGGAAAGTAATTTAGAGGCCCATGAGCGTGTGGAACCTATTCAGTGGGATTATCAGGTCAACTTAGGCAGCTAATATCCATTGTGAGWCTTCTTACCTGCTAGCTTTTGAAATTCCAGCAGACATTTCTGTATCCTTGGGCAACAAAATAGTTTCAAAAATATAGTCAATTGTTTCAGTGCCCATTCTGCTTTCATGTAAGTCAGAATGGAAAAAGATCTCCCAACACCATCACAACAAACTCATTAAGAAGCAAGCAAAAATGGTTTGGTCCTAGTTCTGCTTTGAGTTATTCTACTTTAAAGATTGTTCACAGTGGTGTGGAGCAGCTCACAAAGCACTTCCCACAGCTAAAAGCATTACAGACTCAGACATTTCTTATCAAATTAATTTTTTGCTTTTACTTCTGACAAAATAATCTTTTGACAAATATTACTGTGAACCTAAGACTTGCAAATTCTGGAGGCTTTAGCTATCAAAGAGAAATTTTCCTCGTCTTAATGGAAAAACATAATATCTAGAAAGTTGTTTTTGTTTCTTACATTTAACTGTCATTWCTAAAATGACACAGACTCACAGTATGAACAGCATGGACTTGTATTGACTTGTGAGGGCAAATCTCAGCTGATTTCATTGAGAGTTTAAAAGAAGATAAAGCAGGACTGCTTGTGTAGGCTATCRTTGGGGTTATTGAGGCCAAGAAGGCTTGGGTTTAGTTTCTTTTTGAAAAGCTCAAAAAGCAACTGAGGTGGTACCCATACAAACAAATCTGTTGTGGAGCATATGGGTAACTTAATTTGATTGTCTTTACTGTAAAGACATGAGTGAGTATAGAGTGTTCTTTTAACACATTTGTCGCTGAAGTTACAAACTCTAGTACTGAAGTATTTCCAGAACACAYTATGTTGAAAGGATCATTCAACAGAGTAAGTAAAAAATTCATCTCAGAGCWAGTTTTGTATATCCACTTCTATTCAAAGAATGCTTTGAGCTTCCAAAAATGCTGTTACTTTCATAAAATGTCACAGTTGAGTGGCAAGAGAAGAGGGGGTCAGTATTTCCCATTATAGTACAAAACAGCAGAAGGGGACTCGAGAAGCTCATCTAGTCCTGCTATCATGAAATAGGATCAATTCACAAACCCCTGACATCATCCCTGACAACACCTACTAGTCTATAAAGCTTTGTAAGATCCTCAGCCAGTTTTTTGCAATCCTTGCTATCTTTGCCCATGGAAAAATTTCTAAATACCCAKCTTAAATATTGCAGCGTTTTCCAAGCCCCCTCAAATCTGGCAGGTTAAGATCTGTTCTCTCTGGCTAAAAGATGCAAACTTCTGTGACCTCCCCAGTTTTAGAGCTGTTGAGCCTGAGCCTATAGCATAACTTTTCTATGAGGATGCTTTTTGCTCTCTCCCTACAGTGTTCAGCTCCCAAGGTACAGTTCCCCATTTTGAATCATCTGTTTGTAACAGGATCCTAATATTTTATCTTAGGCGAAAATTATCCTACTTTGCTTCTATGTTAGTAGATTCAGCACATTTTAGACCAGATGTGAAAATTTTTGCTGGGCTATTAAAAAGAAAAAAGAAAACAACAAGAACCTTAGGACCCTTCCCTGCCTTTTTGCAGGCCWAAAATAAGATACTCATTGTATAATTGAACAGCCTGACTAAATACAAACAAGGAGGGCAGTAACCTCTTAGAAAGGACACATACCCCCATCCCTTCAGCCTGTATCTCTGCCCTCCTTCAGGGGTCCCCTGATAGCCCTCTCCCAGTGGCTTTATCCCCTGCAGCTGTGTGCCTTTTCAGCTGCTTTCTTGCTAATGCCTATGTTAACCCTTTCTTTGCCTGAGAAGGCTGGCAAATTCCATTGCAAACCCATTAGTCTTTACTCAGCCTGCACACAGAAAACAAGTCATTCACTTTATGAATTTATGATTTTATTAATTTGCAAATTGTTACTGCATTTCCTCCCATCCCATGCTATTTTTTAGATTATGAACATTTGATTTGTTCAGTGATGTTKTAGACCTTTGTTTATTCTCCTGGCTCTCTTGTGGAGAGAGTGGAGAAAGTGTTTTGGATAGTGCTTTCTGGGCACTTTGCATCTCTGCTGGAGAATAAGGCCTCGCACCAGTCCCAGTGCTCCTGCTGGGGCTGGACCAGTGCTGGGSAGAGCAGGATTATTCCCCACGTCTTACAAGCCATACTCGTGTTTGCACAGCTTAGTGTGGTGTTTGCCTTTTTCACAATGGCTTGACACTGTTAACTCCTAATCAGCTTGTGATCTATTATATCCCCTAGATCTTTTTCTGCATGAGGGAAACAGTATTTTAGCAGTTTTATTCCAGTGAGCCACATGAGAAGAAAATGACTGAAGTAGTGTGAGTGAGATTATCTGCTTTGCCCTTCAATACCAGAATTGTTTACTGGTTTCCAATTAGTTACATGTGTACACCCTGTTAAAGGAATTGCAGAAGTGCTGCTAATGCCTTCCTTTGGCCTTCGGAGCCTTTATTACTAGCAGGGACTAGTAACTAAGAGTTATTTGGGCCAATTTCCCTGTGTACTCAAGACTTCAAATGCTCATGAAATTACAAGCCTAATTGCTCTTGCAATTTAGACATACTGAGTTTGGGAAACCTCACTGAAAAATGCTGCTGCTCATTAGAAAACTGTTGTGTGATAAATTTCTTTCTCTGAAACATTAGCTGTCGTTAGAAGGGATGTTGCTTGTTTCTTCTTTCTTCTTTTCAAATGAGTCAACCTGAAGAAACCAGTGGTTGTTTTTATGAGGTGGCAAATACCACAAATATTCTGTTAGCTAGAGTACTGGACACAGGTACCTTTGTGGGTGAACTAGAAAGATCCCATTCATTTCAGTACCAGCCCACGCCTGCAAACATACACTGTCCTTGACCACCACAGCCATCCCAACCCCCGTGTGCTTTCATATCCTCTGCTCAGACTGCAGCTCCGCAGTGTCATGTTGTGCAGGTTCCCTGTTCTGCTCAAGCTATTCTCACTGCTCTAGCTCAGGCTTTTGAATGTACCTTTACATTTAATATGATTTTGTGGCATTAAGACTGCAGGAGGAAAGGCAGTGGCAAGTGACAGGC